ATAAGAGAATTGCTGCAAATGGAGGCCAGCCTGGACTACAAAATGAATTTCAGGCCAGCCCAGGCTACAGAATAAGGTTCTATCCCCCAAAACAAAAACAAAAAACAAACAACAACACACACAAAATTAAAAGAACAGTGGTTTGCCTAGAGTATATAACATAGAAACAGGATATTCCCTTTCAACCAATCCAGGGCTCTCCAGTCTCCCTGAGTAATCAACAGAGGAGAAGGCCAGTCTAATGTCTCATGGTTGAAGTCGCCAGTCTACACAAATCTAACCAGAAAACTGGTAGGATTTCCTACAGTAGTAGGATACTTAACCCACATCTCTCAAAGTTCAAGCATTTGAACATAAGAAACAAGTTACAAGTCATACTGATGGATCAATAAATTGGCAGGAAGCAAAGCTGACCATTTGAAGAGCTAATACTATACATGAACTTTCCTCCACTTGATACAGGGACTTGCTACATAGTACACGCAGGATTTGAACCCAAGGAGGATTATAGGCATGCGCCACTACACCCAGTCAAGGACTTATTGCTTGCTTTTCCACCCTGCGTCTCACTAACCTTCGAGATCCTTTACATACTTGAGCAGTCGTCTCTTATATATCTTCCCGCCACCTGGAAGGTAAGGTAGCATTTAGAATACAACAGGATATAATTATAGGATAACTATATAATAGAGTTAATTGCTGGGAAGACTGACAAAGACAGCACAAACACAAGATGACATCCTTGATTCTAGGAAAACTCAACTAACCTTCTGATCTGTTTGGAGATTTACTTTTACCATAATGTAAGAATGAACCCAGATATGAAGACATGAATTATAAGTATATACGTTGGTTGAATTAAAAAGTCTTAACTTCCTCTTTCTCTCTTTTCCTTTCTCTTATTTTCCTCTTCGTTTTGGAAACTGTATGGGTGTTTTGTGCACTACATGTGTGTAGAGTCTGCAGAGTCCAGAAGAGGGCATCAGATCCACTGGAATTGGAATCACAGATGGGTTTGAACTGTTTTGTGGGTGCTGAGAACCAAACCCTGGTCCTCTGTAAGAGCAACAAGTGCTCAGAATCACTGAACCATCTCTCCACTCCTCTTCTTGGTCATCATTTAGAGTTGGCAGTGTGCCCAGGGCAGCAGGAACATTTAAGTTTGGTGGTAGAGGCTTGTGAGAGATACTGTCAGCCTTCAAGAACAGGCAACAAGATTTCCCCTACTGTCAGCATTGTGGTTTTTTAAATTTTATTTATAAAAGTTTATTAATTTATAAAAGTTTCCATTTCCACCCCTCCTCCCAACACCCTCCCACTCCCCCCACTCCCTCTTCTCCTCCCTCTCCATCCCTAAGAGCAGTCAGGGTTTCTTGCCCTGTGGGAAGTTCAAGTTCCTCCCCCCTCCCTCCAGGTCCAGGAAGGTGAGCATAGCATTGTGTTTTGTTAAAGGGTTTTCCTGGAGAGCAATGTATACTTCCAGATGAGCTCACCCTCTACGCCCCTAATCCAAGTCTGAAGGAGTGACCTCAGTACACACCATAAACTTCCAGGAATTTCTGCAGATCCTTGTACGCTTTGTCAGGGAATACCAGCCCCGCTCTCCTTAGCACACGCTTTACGTTATCGACTCCAACCTTCTTCCCTTTAGAAAGATGCAAATTGTTAACAGGTAAGAATTTTAGCAATGAATGAATGATTTTATTTACTTATTGTGCGTATGGCTATGCAAGCACTTCTGCGCACATGTGTGTGTGGAGGCCAGAGGTCAGCCTTTGATCCTCAGGAGGTGTCCATTTTCATTTATTTATTTATTTATTTATTTATTTATTTATTTATTTATTTTGGAGACAGGGTTTCTCACTGGGAGGTGGGGCTTGCTGAGAAGGCGATGCTGACTGTCAGTGAACTCCAGGGATTTGCCTGGCTCTGCAGTCTTAGCACTTGGATTACAAGTTGATGCCACCATGTCCAGTTTTTTCTGTGGGTTCTGGGATTAACTCTCAGGTCCTCCTGTAAGTGCTCTCTGGACTAAGCTATGCCCCAAGCTTAAATGGTTTTAGATTATGGAAAAATTATTTAAATTATTTATGTGGAACAATCCTGTTATAGGAGCGAAATTTCAAGGGAAGTTGTTAAGCTACATAAATTCAAAGGGCGTGTGAATGTGTTGTTTATTAAGAAGAAGAACTCATCCTTTATTTCAAGAGAAGGGAAAGTTCACATTCCAGATACAAATCAAACCCACCTTGAGACTGAATAGTACTCATTTATGTTTTGGCTGTTTAGACAGCAGGTCTAATTTCCCAGTAATGTTTCCCGAATCCCCCCCCCACTCCAGAGAAAGAAAGAGAGAGAGAGAGAGAGAGAGAGAGAGAGAGAGAGAGAGACTGACTCACATCCTATACAAGCAAAGCCAAAATCAAATATAAGATTGTGAAACAAATATTCAAGTCTTAATGTTTTAGGAGAGTTAATTTAGCATGTCAGTAGTAGCCTCGAAAGAAAACAATGTTGGGAGACAGTATTTTTTCTATAAAATATTAAGGCCTCAGTTAGGAATGGATGCCTTTTAACTAGAACTACTTACCAGTAAAAGCTTTTGCTTCATCCATTAACACATTTAAATCAACCATTTCATTTTCTGTAAGAAAAGACAATCCGGTTGGAAAAATTCAATACATACTTGTAAAGAGTTGGATTCAGCCATCTTTCATGATTTTCATTATTAACTAATTTAGCTCAAGAAGAAGCAAAAAGGAGAAGCTGGACATTTAAAGACATCAGCCATCACTGCACACCATTCTGAGATAGGCTGTCATTCCTTCCCTCTAGTCACTGGTTCTGGGTCTGAATTACAGAACACTCCCATGAAGACCCTGGACTCATCTCTCATTTTCTTCCTAATGGATTACACTGGTTTTGCCTCTTTGACATTCCTGTTCAGCAGAACTGATCTTATAAAATCATTAATGAACTATTTCATTAGAAGTAGGTCTATAAGTTTAGGTCAGTAACAGAATTCAGGAGGACTGCCATGCATTCAAAGCATGTGGGCTACAGCGTAAGACAAAACAAACAGAAATAGGTAAACATGCGAAGTAAGAGATGAAGTAGGGGTGAAGTGTGTTTGTTCACTGGCTGCACAGACTACGCAGACACAGTGAAATGTTTCGTAAACTTTCTGAAGAGACTGCCTTTGTTTTCTTTCGTTCTCTCTCTTTCTTTCTCTTTCTCTCTCTTTCTTTCTCTTTCTTTCTTTCTTTCTTTCTTTCTTTCTTTCTTTCTTTCTTTCTTTCTTTCTTCCTTTCTTTTTAAATGCTTATAAGGCCTTACACAGAAGCCCTGGTGACAGTGATGGTGTGGGAGGTTCTTCTGTCTGTGTGTTGCTTTTATTGGTTAATGAATAAAGAACTGCTTTGAGCCTATGGCAGAGAAGAACAGAACTAGGCAGGGAAAGCTAGGCTGTATGCTGGGAAAAAGAAGCGCAGAGTTAGAGAGAAGCCATGGAGCTGCCGCCAGAGTCAGACATGCCAAAACTTTGCTGGTAAGCCACTGCCACGTGGTGATACACAGATTAATAGAAATGGGTTAAATTAATATAAGTGTCAGCCAATAAGAAGCTAGAGCTCACAGGCCAAGCAGTGATTTAATTAATACAGTTTCTGTGTGATTATTTCGGGTCTAAGCTAGCTGGGTGGCCAGAACCAACAATCAGCATTTCCTCCAACACAGTGGTGTGTGAAATACTCACCATCGAAAGGCAGATGATTTATCAGGTCCTCATAGTCTTCCTTCTCAAGTTCAAATCCTGCAGTCTTCAAAATGAGTGGTAGCTTAGAGACGTGGACTTTTTTCCCTTAAGAATAAGGAGAGGGAGGTAAATGCAAGGGATTCCCCGAGTGGAAGATGGACAACTTTAAGGATGTGGAGGGGGCTCCGTGGTTAATAGCACATTCTGCTCTCCCAGAAGGCTTCAGTTTGGTTCCCAGCACACACATCATGCAGCTCACAATCACTTGTAACTCCAGTTCCAGGGGAGGTGACTCTCTTCTGGACTCTATGGGCTCCCGCACACACGTGCATGTACCCAAATACACGACACATAATTTAAAAAAAAAATAAATCCTTAAAAACTGCCATGGATCTTAAAGACTATGGATCCAATCCCAGGGGGACAGTGAGATGCTGGCTATTTTACAACCCAGATTGGTCACCGTTGGAGCTGGGGAGAGAAAAGGATCCTCACTAAGGTCCAACTCTCAGTTGAAGTGACCACAGCTGAAGATAAACTGTAATGGAGAGAACCTTGTAATTGAAAGATCCTCAGGTCTGCTACAGTGACACAGGACTAACAATGTCTTCCTCAGCTACGGCAAACCAGAGGAGGAAGGCCATGCTGTAAGTCAAAAGAGGGATGCTGTGCCGTATGTCAAAGGAAGAATGCCATGCTATAAGCCGTAGGTGAGTTCTGAGGCTGGAGTCAGAATCAGCAAACTCGCGGGATCATGGAACAGCAAGACTCCAATCAGTGAAACCTTTAAACAAAGTAAATGCGAAGGGCAGGAACTGCAGGTCCGGTTCTCGGGACTCTTACCTTTGATGGGCACCACACTGCTCAGTAATCTTTTCTTATAGACGGTTCCATCCTCTGTAAGACACAGTGAGACACAAGGAAAGGGATGAGAAACTAATATTCTCTCACTCTCTCTCTCTGCCTTGTACAAGTGAGGCAAGTAGTTTGCCACTAAGCTACGTCTCTAGCCATGAATATATGACTTACCTAGAAATCTGTTTCACCCTCAAATAACAGCAGAAGAACTGCTTTCAACGTGCTAAGTTTGAAACTTTAGTTGGCACACATGGCAACTGGTAAGGCGTGTTATAAAAACATTTTTCTCTTTGGCTTTCTTCTTGTTTTCTTTTATTATTGCACTATAGCCTCCCCCTTTTTCTGCCCATGAGGCAGACCTATATGTTTAACCAAATGGCAGGCCATATCAAAGGATAATATTAAAAGTAGTTACCAGCCAAGCATGATGCTACATGCCTCCTCTGAACATTTGGGAAGCTGAGACAGGAGAATTACAATTTGAGGCAAGCTTGGGCTACATAGTGAGTTCAAGGCCAGTCTGAGCTATGTAATGAGTCTCTCTCAAAAAAAGTTGTCAATTTGAACAGTAATAAAAACAAATATTTTAAATTACGTGCTAGATTAACTGTGTAAGTGAAGGTGAAGGAAAACTGGGACAGATAGTATCTATTGGTACAACATATCCTCATGGGCTCTATCTGTCCCCAGAGAGCTCCAGACTGTGGACCCTCCAAGTCTGGCACGTGTCTGATGTGCTCCCCAGTAGAGGACATCCTTGCTACTTTCCTAGAGCCAACGTGCTAAGAAAGCTGCAGAGTGGTAGAGGGCTGGTTTAGCACTCTGAAGATCAGCAGCAATACCAAAGGGAAGGGAGAGGCAGAGAAGGCAAGAAGGCAGGGCTTAAGGGAGGGAAGGAGAAGGCAATTTTCAGATTATTCCTTGAGAGAACAATTAGGAGGCGAATGGACGAGGTGGCAGACACAGGGAAGGGGCAGCCTTAGGTGCATGAGGTGAGAATTCAGATGGGGAAAATGGCAGACAGCAAATAGGCAGTCTTAGGTGCAGGCGGCCAGAATTCAGATGAGGGAGGTGGCAAACCCTAGGGAATGGGCAGTCTTGAGCCTGTTGCTAAAATTCAGATGGGTAGGAGCCTTGGTTGCTCAGGACGCTGCTGCTCCCTCCAGGGGGCACTAGTACCCAGCCAATGTGCAAGTCTGCCCTCATTTGGGGGACAATTGGGATAGAAACAACGGGGCAGGAAGAATGGCTCTATTGGGGTTCTTGGAAATGGGTGGGATGCAAAGGTAAAAGGTTAGCCTCCCCACCCCTGGAGCCTTGCAAGTGATCCGGAGGCAGAACTTTTGAGGGACTTGTGGGTTTTCCACTGACAGAGGGGTACTGTCTGCACAGGCGAGTGAGGCTGAAGGGACCCGGCTCACAGGAATTTACCTTTTAGCTGGATTGTGGGGAGAGGGGAGGTTTCCCAGGGGACAGACAGACGTGAGGTGCACTGTGGGAGTTGGGGGCGGGGCTACAGAATTTAGCCAGGGCTCACTAGCTGAATATAAGGGAGAAGTTTCCCACTGTCAAATTAAAACACAAACAAGACAAGGGCTTCTTATTCACGGCCGTTCTCACCCAGGACGCCCACAGTACCCCATTCATCCCTCTCAACCCCAGCGGCATGCTAAATACTCACTAGTGATGGGCAGCGATTTTAACAGCTTCGACTCTTCTCTTTGAGTGAGTGCAATTCCCATGCTTCCCAGAGAGTTTCTTATGTCTTTGGCATCAACTTTTTCTCCTTTAAGTAAATGGGAATTATTTCAGGTTAAGAGATAATAATTTTAACTTAAGAACAATATAATGAAATCCAGCATTCCTTTTAACAGCAAGGCAGTACAAGGATGTGAGCTGAAGTCACTAATTTGGAGTTATTTGAAAGCGTTTTTTTAAGTCGGGTAAGAGGACAGCACTTGTCTCCTATGCTGGGGTCAGTACAGCACGGAGCAGCCCTGTGTAACAGCCGGTGACGGCGGCAGCACTACCGTTTGAATTCTCTCCAAAATTCACATTGGAACTTCATCTTCAGTATAGTGGCAACAAGAGGCAGGAGGCCATGACGCTCTTCCTGCATGGGATTATGGCGCTATGAAGGGTCTCAGTAGCACAGGCCCCTTGCTTTTCCATTCACCACAGCGTGAGGACAGAGTGTCCAAGGCATCGCCTAAAGCAGGAAGTGGCCAGACGCTGGGTAGGCATGCGTGTTGGTGTTGGATTTTCCAGTCCCCACAGTGATGAAAAACAAACATAAATTTATAAATTATAATTACTCAGACCATGGTATTTTGTTATATAAGTATGAGAACATTAAGATTAAGAACAGATGGCATAGGACTTACATAATTCTACTTGTATGCAAAATCTCTCATTTCTACTTAATGGCCCGAATTATGGTACTGACTGTCCATACTGATCATATTCCTGATGCAAAAATTTGGCATTCAAATTAACTATGGAAATCTATATTTTGTTTCTTCAAGCACTAGTGAAATGAATATTGCACACATGTTGAAGTTAATATCTCTCTCTGAGGGGGGGTATGCTTCTAAATTTCTAGTGTTCAAAATTGTTGTCAAAGAGACAAAATTATCTCTGCCTAGGTAAGAAGCTGTGAATGATGTCATTTAGCACTGGAGGGTAGACCCTCTAAAGAAAGGCAGTTCCCACCCAGACCAGGGTCTCAGGCTTCCAGGGACAACATCTTACATGTATTCTCACCTGTGAAAGATTTTGCTGCATCCATCAACACATCCAAATCTACCTTTTCATGTTCTGCAAGAAAATTCAAAATTTAGATTCGAAGATGAAGATAGATTTAAAAAAAATCATATGAAGTTCTTGAAATGTGGCACGTAGAATTACAATAAAATTTCATGCTCTTGTTCAAAATTTTTATTTTATTTCCTTTTTGAGACAGGGTTTTTCTGTGTAACAGCTCTGGCTGTCCTGGAACAATCTTTGTCGACCAGGCTGGCCTTGACCTCACAGAGGTCCGCCTGCCCCTGTCTAGCGAGTGTTGGGATTAAAGGTGTGTGCCACCACACCCGCTCAGAATTTTTATCTTTTAAACCAACAAGAACATATAATAGAGAAAAGACTCAAGCTGTGGGTGTGTGTCCATTCAGGGACTATTCAGCAGACCCAGTCCTCTCATGCTGTGTGGATGACGTGGAGAACAGCACTTCTCAAAGAGTGGTCCTGAGTCTCCTACACCCTGGACCTTTCCCACAGCATCTGCCGTTTGCACTGGCGACTGGGAAAACACTTCCATCTTTAAAATAAGGACATCTGAAGTCACTAGCCGTCATTCTGTCCTGCACTACGTGTGCCTGTAGTAGGATGTCAGTTTCACTTAAGAATGGCCTTAACAAGGTTCTTCTATTTTGTGTGTGTGTGTGTGTGTGTGTGTGTGTGTGTGTGTGTGTGCGCGCATGTGTGTGTGTGTAGGCCAGAGTTCAACCTTGGGTGTCATTCCTCAGGAGTCCTCTACCATATTTTTTGAGACAAGATCTCTCACTGAGACCTGGGACCAAATATGTCAGGACTGCTGACCAGCAAGTCCCTTCTCCACTTCCACGTTCTCCATGCTTACAAGTGTGTGCGTGATGCCCAGCTTTTTATGTGGGTTCTGGGATTGAACTCTGATACTTACACTTGTGCAGAAAGTGCTTTGCAGACTGAGCCATCCCCTCAGCCACAAATCTGATTTGAAAAAATATTGAATGTTATGAAGCCATGCATGGGCAAAGATGAAAGGCTCAGGAAGACTAGTACACTTTGCTGTAACCAAATCTATAGAAGGTAGCTACATTTTAAGAAGCTATTGCTCAGTTTTGAGAGAATAGCCAGGAAGAAAGTATCTAAAGGCTATCAGATGCTTCTCCTGCCAATGATTTGCAAGTGTATGAAGTCAGGTTATCTTTATATATTTTTACCAAAACTAAATTAGCCTAACAAGGGCCGGGGCTGCAACTCAGTGGCTGAGTGCATACCACCATGTGTGAGGCCCTATGTTCAATCCCCAGTATTACTTCAAACCAGAATAAAATAAAACAACCAAAATATTCCAGCAGATTGCATGAGAAAGTATATATGGGCATCTAGTTATGCACTAAAATGATTAATAAAAATGTTAAGACAATTATTCTCTGGGAAAATATTTCCATAAGATGTATTTTATCAAGTAATAAATTTATTGTTTTTTTCAAAAAATATAATGAATCAGGCTTTGTGGCACACACTTGTAACCCCCCAGCACTAAGGACTGAGGCAGGAGAATTAGGAGTTTGAAGCCAGCCTGGGGCTTCATAGAAATTTCCTCATCAGCTATGCAAAGACACCCTGTCTCAAAAAATAGCAACAATAAGTTTAAAGAATTAATAGATAAACATTATTAAAATGTGTTTCAGTTTCTAACGCAATAAATATTGATAACTGATAATTTACAAAACAGCATAAAGGAGTTCTGAGTCAAAAAAGAGCCCCTAGTGAGGCACTGATGTCTTTGCTGGTTGGTTTAGTAGTTTTTAAAAACATTTCTTAAAGGTTTAATAGCATTAATAATCAGGAAATGCATTTTCAATTTTTTTTAAATACGGTCTCATTACATAGGCCTGGCTAGCCAGATCTCATTATGTAGACCGTTATAAAACACACAGAGATCCTCCTGAGTGCTGTGTCACATTTTCAACTGCTGAACAGTATTTTTCTCCTTCGTTTTGTATCACTGCCCCTCTTCCTTTTGCATAGTTCCAATTAACCCGTCTCCTGCATGTGCCACCCGCATGGTTCTGCAGGAAAATCCTGAAATCCAATCTGTCCTCAGTTTTTGTTTTCATCTTGTCTCTTTCCTTGCTGCTCTCAGGCTTGACAGGACAGGGTCTCTGGGATAAAGACGTCCAGAGCAAGAGCGCTCACCAGTCACTGGCAGGTGAGCCTGCAGGTCCTTCATTTCTTTCTCTTCCAGCTTGAAACCAGTGTTTTGAAGAACACTTTTCACATCATGGACATTAACCTTCCCTCCTTAAAGAAAACAAGAAACAGTAAAGTTGTTACAAAATGAAAAATTTGAACTGTTAACTCCTACCCAGAAGAGAAAACACAAAGGTGCTAATCATAGCAAGTCACATGGCAGGTAGGAACACGCTTCCATAATCACACTTCTGAGAGAGCACATGAGGAAGAGCAGTGCACTTTGGTGATTCTGGTGAGCTAGGCGAAGAGAATAATCGAATTCTGGGTAAAGAATAAGGTTTGAGACTTTAAAAAAATACCCTCTCAAAGATACTTTTTCATAAAAGAAAAACTGCAGTTAATGAGAAAGAATTATTTAAAACCACTGGCATGGTTTTTATTGATGCAATCTGAAAATTGACTTATTTATAAAGTGTCAATATGAATATTATATAATATGTGATATATATTATATGTGTAATATATGTATAATAATATAATATATTGTATTTTAGATGAGTTAAAAATTAAATGTTAAAAAACCGAAACCACAGGAAAATAAGGGGAAGACAGAAAAGAAGTGGTTGAGTACACAAAATGAAAAATACCCATATATCAAAGTTGATCATAGTTCCCTAGGGCTGAAGGACTATGGGTATGTGAGTCACTGCTAATGGGTGGACAGAGTTGCATTTCGGGATGATAAAGTGTTGTCTAACTGATGTGGTGACATTGTACAACTCTATTAGTCTACTAAAGTTGTAAACTTTAAGTGAATGAACTAGAGAGCATGTGAGCTGTCTTTCCCTTTCATTTTAATACAGTATATGAAAATAAAATGCAAATAACCAACCAGGAAAATATTCACTATGTATATGACAATGTGTATATAGTTGATATATAAAGGGGTCATTTTAATTATTAGCAATGCATGTTTATACTATAGTAGGATAATGGACAAATGGCCCTAATAAGAAACTCAAAATTTGGAAGCAATAATGATAGATGTCTATTTTCGGGTTTCTATTGCTATGATGAAACACCATGACCAAAAGCAAGTTGGGGAGGAAAGGGTTTATTTGGTTTACACTTCCCCATCGCTGTTCATCACTGAAGTAAGTCAGGGCAGGGACTCAAGCAGATCAGGAGCTGATGGAGAAGCCATGGATCAGTGCTGCTTAATGACTTGCTCCCCATGGCTTGCTCAACCTGTTTTCTTATAGAACTCGGGACCACCAGCCCAGGGATGGCACCTCCCACAATGGGCTGGGCTCTCCTCATCAATCATTAATTGAGAAAATGCCCTACAGGCTTGCCTCCAGTGATCTTATAGAGGCATTTTCTTAATTGAGGTCCCTTCTCTCAGATGATTTCAGTTTGTGTCAAGTTGACATAAAACCAGGCAGTACAATATAATAATCTTTCATTTTTCAGGAGAAGAAAAAATAAAAACAGCATTATTTTTATTATAATTATATTATATAATATATTAACATTAAATTATTATGTTATTTTTATTTTTAATAATAAATGAAAATATTCATTTTCATTGAATCAAATTAGCAAGAATCTAAAATTCTGAAAATGATATCTGAGTACTAAATGTAAAATGAACAAAATACCAAGTAAGAGTTGAATTAAAAATAGACCTGTACAAGAAAAAAGTAGTGTAACAATGCATGTAAGTGTAGTAACAATGCATGAGTCCATTTTTCCTATATATTATTTTATATTTCAGATGGTTCTTGAATACCTAGTAGACAGCAAACAATTACTTAATGGAGCTCATAGTTCTGTTATTTTATACTTTAAGGAAAGTCTCAAATTTTATTGTTCTTGTCTGTTTCTCACTCACCTTTGAATGACTTCACACCAGACAGTAATTCTTTCTTAAACAGAGTTTTGCCAGCTGTAGGATAAAACACAATGGTGTTTTTGAAGGATGATAAAGTCTATGTTCATACATACAGAAAGGAAAGACTTAGACATATCACATTTCATTCTCAATGAGATGAGAGGTTACACCCCAGCTCTGGGAGAAGCCTCAGCACAGGGGACCTAATCCATGGGGGCTGAGTATAAAAGCAGTTAGCTGTACCCAGGTGCCCTAAAGGACAAAACTTTTTTTCTTTTTTAATTTGGCTTCATCTTTTTTCTTTTTTTTTATCATTCGGTTCTTTTATTTTCTTTCTGATTCATAAGTCTTTTATGTCTCCCAAAGGAACAACAACAAGAACAGGTCTTAAGATAGGACTTCTGCCTTAGGGGACCTTTCCCTAAACCTAATCAAAATGAGCACAGGAGCTTAACGAAGTGTTAGCTGGAAGCTTGGCTAGGGTCCTGCCTGTAATCTCAACAGCCAGAGGACTTCAGAGTTCCAGATCAATTCTGGCTACATAATGAAAGACTTAAAAAAAAGGCTGTTTTCTCTCACATGTAGAATCTATTTTAAAATATATGTGTGCACACACACATATTTACATGTCATACATACATGAGGCATGAAAGCAGAAGGGAATTACTTGGGAGAAAGAAGGGGGTCAGTGAGAAAGGGGAAAATGGGATGAGGAGGGTACTGAGAAGGCAAATATGAGCAAGGTAGCAAGACATATATGCATGAAAATGTCATAATGAAGTGCAGCATCGTATATTTCAACCAAAATAAGTAATAAGTTATTAAAAAATAGGAGAAACACTTAGGTAGGGTTGGGTCTTTTTTGCCAGGAGCTCATGTGTAGACCAGGATGGCTCTGAACTTGCAGTGATCACCCTACCTCTACCTCTGAAGAGTTGGCTCAGCAGGTCAATGAACTTGCCCCCACCCAGGACAAACACCGTGAAAGAGAACCCACCCCACACTAGCTGCCCTTTGACTTCCACGTGTGTACATGAGCACATGCTTGCCCACATGTGCACACAGACACAACTAAATGTAAAATGAGCAAAGAAGTTCAGGGATTACATGCTTAGTACAGAATTGGATCTTTTTACAAAAAAATAAATATTTTAAACTAACGTGGAATATTTCAAATATTAGAATTAATGTGAAATCTTCAAAAAACACCAAATTTAAAAACAACCTGACTTTCTTTCTGACAGCAGGAACCTGGGGCAATGGAAACAGTCCCCATTTCTTCTGTGTTTCGGGGTAGAATGTACAGATATTGGGCAATGCTTGTTGAAGGAGCACATTTTTACGTGTCATTATTAGGTACGGGTAAAGCTTACCAGAGATGGGCAGAGTCTTGAGCAGCCTTTTGTTTTCTTTACTTGTTAATTCTACCCCCATGTTCTCCAGAACACTTTTGACGTCTTTTACATGAATCTTTTCTCCTTTAGGAAAAAGAAAACAGCTACAGGTGAGACTACAGAATTATGTGTTTGATAACATTATAAAATAAAATGTGTACGTGTAACAGACATGAGAGACGGCATCCTTGTTGACTTTACAGGAAAGAGCGAGTAACCCAGGGAGGGTGTGTCAGCCCTTCAGGGTCAAGAAGGGGAAGGAAGGACGGGGTGGGTGGTGGTGGCGGATCTCTCTGATTTCGAGGCCAGCCTGCTCTACAAAGTGAGTTCTAGGACAGCCAGGGCTACACAGAGAAACCCTGCCTCAAAAAACAAAACAAAACAAAAAGACAGGGAGGAAGAGTTTTTCTGTCAGCTGGGTGTGGTAGCACACGCCAGAAATCCCAGCACTTGGGAGGCTTCGGCAGGAGGACGGGAAGTCCGGTCAGTCTGGAAGATATATATATATATCATATATATATATGAAAAAACAAATTCAAATAACAACTCTATTCTTTTTTTAATAAGATTTAAGAAGATGTAAATTTTAAATTATGTGTGTGGTTTGTGCAAAGACGAAGACAAAGGAGCCTGCAGAGGCCACCTGATCCCCTAGAGCTGGAGTTGCTGTGGCTGCGAGCAGCCTGGCTGGGTGCTGAGAGCCAAACTGGGGTCCTCTGCAACAGCACAGGCACTGCTGGCTGCCGCGCCTTCGCTCAGCTGTAATAGCTCTCTTCCTAGCTCCCTCCTGCCTGCTTGTTTGTTTTATACTCTTTACCTCTAGCCTCTCTACTGCCTTCACTTTCTTCCTCTTTTGTCTCTGTTGTGCATTGGTTGTAAAATGACAACATAAAAGAGTTTATAGTATACAATTACGTTACGTTTGAATGACAAGAATCGTATCTCCCCCAAATACAAATCTAAAATTTTTATGTTAGCATACAAAGTAATGGGTATCATTATAGCATTTCCTCCTCCCCTCCTTTTTTACCCTTCCATTTCCCCCTTCCCTTATCTTCCTTTCTTTCTAAGTAGCCCAAGCTGGCCTTAAACTTGCTGTATAGTGGAGGATGACCTTGAACTCTGTATTTAGTGCTGGGATTTCAGTCCTGTGTCTTCTTCAGTCCCCTAAAGTCTTCAATGTGGAGGACTTTCGCCTCCTTGGTTAGGTTTGTTTAAAAGCTGTCATGAATGAGCTCCCACCACACCCTGGTTTCGTTTTTTTTTTTTTTTTTTTGGTTTTTCAAGACAGGGATTCTCTGTTGCTTTGGAGCCTGTCCAGGAACTAGCTCTGTAGACCAGGCTGGCCTCGAACTCACAGAGATCCGTCTGCCTCTGCCTCCCAAGTGCTGGGATTAAAGGTGTGCGCCACCACTGCCCAGCTCCTGGTTTCTTTCTTGGCAAGTTTGTTATTACTATATGGAAAGGCTACTTATTTTGTCTGCTGATTTTGTATTATACTATCTTACTGAAAATGTTTTATCAGCTCCAAGGGCTTCTGGAAGAGACTTTAATGTCCTTTAAGTCTGGAAGCAAGGATGTTTTGAATTCTTGCTTTCTTATCACATTCATTTTCTCTCATCTTAATTACCAGACTTAAGCTGTATATTGATTAAGAAATGTGAGCGTGGATGCCTTGTCTTGCTCCTGATTTTAGAGGAGTCACTCTCAGTACTTCTTCTAGTTGGTGTAATGTCGAGCCCAGGTTTGCCATGAACAGCCTTCATTGTCTGAAGCATGCTCTGGCCATTCCCACTTTATCCAGGGCTTTTATCCTGAAGAATAAAAAGCTCCCTGTTAAAGGCTTTTATCTGCAGCTACTGAACTGATCACGTGATTTCTGCTCTACAGTGTAAAGTGGTGTAGTACACCTACTAATTTGCATATGCAGGACAAGTCTTGTATCCCTGAGCTTAGACCGAGTTGATCATGACCTATGATCTTAGTGTGTTCTTGAATTTGATTTGTAGGTATTTTGTTGAGAATTTTGCATATATGCTCAACAGGGAAATTGGTCTATAGTTTCTTTGTTGTTGTGTCTTTATCCTGTTTTGGAATCAGAGAAACACTGGCTTTGTAGAGTGAGTCTGTACAGCGAGTGTCTTCCCTGTACCCTTTGTAGAACAGTTTGAGGGTTGGTGGTGTTAGTGTTAGCTAAAAGTCAGCAGAGAAGCCATCTTTACTTTATGGGGAGTATTTTTTTTTTAAATCCTGAGGCAGGGTTTCTCTGTGTAATAGCACTGACTGCTGTCTTGGAACTCACTCTATATGCCAGGCTAACCTCCAACTCACAGAGATCCACCTGCCTCTGTCTCCCAAGTGCTGGGATTAAAGGTGTGTGCCACCCACCACCTAACTGTGGGGAGGATTTTTATTGCTTCTTCAATCTCATTTTTATTTTTAAATTTTTGAGTATGTGTGTGTGGTGTACATGCTTGTTTAGTTGCGTGCGTGTGTGCATGTGTGCGCGTGCGTGTTTGTGTGTGTAGGCCAGAGGCTGGCTTCTGGTGTCTTCCTCTACTGTTTTTGACCTTTGTTTTTGAGGCAGTCTCTTACTGAACCTGGGATTCACCAACTGGCTAGACTTACTGGTCAATGTGCTCCAGGGATCTGCCTGTCCTCACTCCTGAGTCACAGACATACATATACATACATCCATACATATGTACATACATACATATATGTTCTGGGGCTCTGAACTCAGGCATTCATGCACATGTTGCAGGCACCTTATTGATGAGGCACTTTTCCATCCCTCTCCACCTTGTTTCTTGTTATGTAGCTGTTTAAATTGTTTACATTCTTTTGATTTGATTTTGGCATGTCATCTCTAAATATGTATCACTTATAAAAACAGGTTTTTGATTTGTTTTTGAATGTGAGTTTTCAAAGCCTTCCCTAACGATGCTCTGGATTTTACTGGAATCTGTTGTAACACACATTTTCCCTCTAATTTTACTAATTTGGGTCTTTCTTTTCTTTTAGTCAGTTTGGCAAAGAGCTTGCCTTTTCAAAGACCTGTTTGTGCACCAGCTTCTGTGGTATACTTTTAGTCTTCACTTCATCCATTTCTACCCCAGTCTTTATTGATATCCACCGCTCTTGGTTTGTGCTTGTCCTAGCTTTTGTATGACAGTGAGGTGTATCACTGGGTTGTTAAATTGAGATCTCTGACCTTTTTCAATAGAAACGTTGGTGGCTATAAACTTCCCTCTGGGAACTGTCTTGGTTATATTCCAAAGGTTCTGGTAAGCTGTGCTTTCATTTTCATCTGATTCTAGGAATTTAAAATTTCCCTTCTTGGTTTCCCCATGGACTCACTGGTCATTGAAAAACACACTATCAGTCACAAGCATTTGCGTGTTTTTGACTTTCTACTGGTTTCTGGTATTATTCCACTATGATCTAATGAGTCCCAAGACATCATTTTCAGTTCTTCTGTATAAGATTTGTTCTATGAACTTCTCTGTTTTGGAGAGGACACTGGGCTGCTGAGAAGAGAATGGGCCTTCTGTACCTGCTACATGGAATATCCTGGAGACAGACGTCAAGCCTGTTTACTCTATGTACAGTTTAAGCCTGAAATTTCTTTGATTTTTATGGTATGTTAAAACCTACTTGAATATAAAATGTAAAGACCACACAATATAATAGCTCACTTACCTGTAATCTTTTTAATTTCATTCATCATCACACGGAAATCAGCATTCCCATTACCTTTAGGACAAAAAAAGCATAAAATAGATTTACAGGAAAATGATAAGAAATCATCAAATTGTGAATTATAAAACAGAAGCCTATATTCACTCACTTGAAAACATTTTATGAAATTTATATCTTTCATGTCTGATCCTCATCAATTTAATGAATATAACTACTCCTATTTCCACTACAAGCATCCACATAGCACAACGCAAGACAAAACACTCTCCTTCAATTTAGCCTCAGATCGTCGATAGTCTTTTCTGCTAACTGGAGCATTGATCTACTCTGGCTGCTCTTGGAACTCCACCATGCTAACTGCCATATTGACGTGTTCAGTACCGTTCACTTACAAGGACAGATCTCTGTTTCACAATGATCATTCTCAGACACCATAGAGTTACTTGACTTAGTATTTCTCAAATTAAAGTGGAAAGCCACTTGATACATTTAAAGCGTTTGTAAAATTGCAAGTTTGAAAGCCCTGGATGGGAGGTGTGACTTCTGAGACAGCCAAGACAAGGCTACCACAGACAGTCTCTTCTACTGGGATTGGGTCAAGGGGACATAATTTGTTTGTACTTTTCTGTTACTTGTGATACTCCAACGCTGTATGTGACTCTGAGGGCTGAAGTCTATCGTCTTACTATTCACGGATAATCATTAGTGTAGTGGTTTGCATGACCAATGCTGTACAAATGTTTACTAAACAACAGTTATATCAAAATGCAAACACACTGCAGCTAATGAATTGAATTTAAAACCAATACATATTTACTTTAGATGCAAAATTTATTCTTGCTTTTAAAAATACTTTTTCAGTTATGACAATCTTTTGTTAGTGTCTTATAATGTGATCAGTATAAGAACCTTCCTTAACTGTATGTCCCCCAACCCACCCCCGAGGCCCACTGGGCCCAGAATTATCATCCTTTCTTAGATGACTAAACAGATGTATAAGTTATTACATGAATATCATTGTATTTTAAATCACTGTGATGACCGTGTTCCTCAATACCAAGAAAACAGGGCAATGGTCAGGGTCTGTAGGACATTTATTGCAGTGGTAGATTAAAATAGCTATCAAAGTGGTTTAAAAAACAAAATAGTTTTTGGAAAAACTGCTTACCTCTTATTAAAAGGCCAGCTGCCTAATCCATTAGAAACACTACAGCCAACTGAATGAAGGAATGATATTTTTCACTGATTTAGAAAAAACACATTATCAGTGGACTTGAGTGAATCTTACTGTTTTTACTACATCCTTTGGGTCTGGCATCCTCCCAGATTTCCTGAATTTTCCTCAGGCCTATTAACGTGAGACTACCGAATGTATGCCACAGCTAATTAATTCTATTTTCTTCTTTTCAAAAGTTATTTCTAATTATCATGTGTCTGACATGTATGTGAGACAGAACACGTGTGTGGAGGTGACATGACCACTCTGTGGAGTCTGTTACCTCTTCCCGCCTTACATGGGCTCTGGAAGTTGATTTAGGTCATCAGGCTTGAGTGACAAATGCTTTTACCAGCTGAGACATCTTGTTGCCCCCCTTTTCTTTTTTGAGATAAACTCTCATTATGTAGCTCAGATTGGCTTGAACTTTCTGTCCTCTTGCCTCAGCCTCCCAAGTTCTGGGACTGCAGGCCTGTCACCATACCTAGCTCTGAGTAATTTCGTTCTCACTGCTGCTATATTACGACAGCATCTTTTCTTTGGAAACACTAAGACCTCATGGCAGCATAGCATAATGGTTAATTTCTAGAGGCCATGTGTGGTGACTTACACCTATAATCTTTGCATGTGTGAAACCAAGGCAGGAGGATCACAAGTTTGAGGAGAGCCTGGGCTACATAAAGAGATCTTGTCTCAAAAATCCAAAAAGAAAGAAAAAATTCTGGGACCAAGACTACCTGAGTTTTCTTTAACTAGAGAAGTTAGGGAACTTCTCTAGTTCCCTAATTTTTGACAAGCAACTAGTATTCTCTGTATCTTTGTCTCACTGGATGTAAAACAGAGGTACAGCTAGAACCGAACTTGTAGAATTACTTGGAAGACGCAAGAAGCTAATTATCTACACAGCACTTAGCACAATTCCTCCCACCTGTCAGAATTACTTAGTGCTACTCAATGCTATTTCCTACTGGATTAGCACTATAAACCAAAAAATATTCTCAGTACTTTTGTTTGAGCTTGGCATTGCCTATGATGTTAAGTAGAGACTAGATGTTGGTGCTCTTGGTGTCTCTTCCCGAGTAGTGGCCACTGGGCTCAGTTTGGTAGCTATGTGTGAAGACTACATTTTATCTCTCTTCTTTTCATGTACATCCTCTCCTCATCCCAGATCCACCTCTAGGCTCGTGTTGCAAGTTATATTAGGAGGTAAACTCACGATCAACTGGCAGACGATCCATCAGTATCTGGATGTCTTCATCATCGAGATTAATTTCTGCTTCTTTAATGAAATCTTTCACCTTATTTGAAAGTATCTTTATCCCTTAGAAAAGAAGGATTTGAGAAATATAATGAGGCCTCAGTAGGTCATTCGAAGTCGTATCTACATACCAGCTTTGTTCAGACAATGGGGACAAAGGGCATTTAAACCACTCCGGTAACAATGTGTTTGATATTGTAATTGTGAACTCTTCACTCTTGTTCTTGAGATTCTACAAGAGCTGTGTGTGAGTGTGTTGCATGTTCTGATGACTGACTTCAGAGTGTGCACACACTACTCAAACACCCCCTTGAGTAACACCTCTATTAGTGTGTATGAGTGTGTTGCACGTACTGATGACTGAATTCAGGGCGTGAGCATGCTACTCAAACACTCCCCTTGAGTAATACCTCGATCCTAGCTTTTAGAAGGAGTTTTAAGAGAAGGAAGTGAAGAGTTTGGAATTTCTATTAAAGACTCAAATCAGTGTTTGTCAATGTACCTGTATAATAGAATTCAAAATCTGAAATTAATGGAGGAAAATAAAGCCTATGGATTTATTACATCACAATTCTCTAGGAAATTTGTTTAAAAGTTAAATTTATTTATTTTAAATTAATTAGTGTGTGTGTGTATGTGTGTGTGTGTGTGTAGAAAGCTCCTGTGTTACAGTGTGTATGTGGATGCCACAGGATGACTCCCAGGCGTCAATTCTCACTAGGTTCCAGGAATCAAACTCATACCCTCGGCCTTGGTGGCAAGCACCTTTACCCGATGAACCATTCAGCTGGCCCAAAGTAATACATGAAAACAAACAAAAATATCCATATGGATGTGCTATTCCAACACATGCATACATGTTCAAATCAGGTTGGACATCTCTATTTTTCCAAACATTTGTCATTTCTTCACGGATAAAACCTTCCAGATTCTTTTCTTTCTTCTAACTTTCCGAAATGGGTGCCATTGTCTGTAGCCACCTACTGTCCAGTAGCCAGCAGGGCTTCTTGATCTCAACTAAATGTCCCCTTCTGTTCTCTGCTTTCTCTGAACCACCATTTTACTCTCAACTTCTACGAGATCAAGTTTTTAGATTATGTATGTAAGTGAGATCATCTGGTGTCTGTTTTGTGTGCGGGGGTGTGCCAGGCTTATTTCACTTAATACAATGGTCTCCACTTCCATTCATGTTGTTGCCAATGATGAGATTTTATTTAGTTTTTTAATGACCAATCATTATTCTATTGTATATAGGCAATAATTTTTCTTTATTCACTGTTTACTTTTCTTATCTATTATAATATCATGGGAAACTTTTTAATAATTTTTTCCCCTAAACACTATCATCTGGAAACTGAAGATCAATATTGTTGGAAAAGTGCCTAGTGCTCTATGTGTCATTACTTCCTGATGTTTCTAATGTCTGCATTTATAGAGGAGCCACTGTTTCTAGGTCAACTACAGGGTAACTATTTTGGTGACCATCATCTGTCTAAAGAATCCAACAGGAGGGATGGCAAGACGAATAATCAGAAAAGTGCAAACAGCAGCATGGTTCAAGGGCCTCAGCGTCGCCCGCAGAGGACTAATCCACCACACGTCTCACCTTCAACATTCTCCAGTTCTTTTATCAGTCTTTTCTTGTACACCTTCCCACCAGCTGCAAGAGAGAAATTTCAAGTCTCAGGCAATAATGCAGTCATTCAGAAGTGGAATAAATGTCTGTAGCTGAAGAAACAGAAACTCTGAAAATGCTTTATTCTAGTAATTCATATTTTCACTCTAATAATAAAAGTCAGGAATGGAAATCAATCTGTTGGGTGATATACTGGTGATGGGTAGCACGCGACATCTTTGTTTGCCGCACAGGTTCATACGCTCACTACTTCTCCGAGGCTACTGGGGTGTCTTTTCGTGCTCACCGTCAGCTGGCAGTTTGCCCAGCAGTTTCATCATCTTGTCTTCTGTGAGCTTTATCCCTATGCTTTCCAGGTAATTGTCCAGCTCAACAAGGTCAATCTTCTCACCTTTAAAAAAATCAAAAGTACTAACAGTTGAAAAGTTGAAAATAATAATGATTCTATTTTGTGGGAAAAAAGGCTTATTCTTTGTTAAGTAAACATTAATAGACTTAAGCTGGCAAGAATGTAAGAAATTACTAGGACAAAACTGTAGAGGTTTTGACCAAAACCATTATGATCAACATTAGGCTGAATAATTAGATGCAAACATTTACCCATAAATAGAGTGAGGGTACGTGCCAACAAGGGAAACAGTATTGAGTAATATATCTTTTTAAAAATATTTATTTATTTATTTATTATGTATATAATAGTCTTTCTGCGTGTATGCCTGCAGGCCAGAAGAGGGCACCAGACCTCATTACAGATGGTTGTGAGCCACCATGTGGTTGCTGGGAATTGAACTCAGGACCTTTGGAAGAGTAGGCAATGCTCTTAACCTCTGAGCCATCTCTCCAGCCCCCTGATTAATATATCTTTACAAAAAAATTAGAATCTGATTTTTCAAGTTTTTTTTTTGTGGTGTGTGTGTGTGTGTGTGTGTGGTGCATGTAGTGTATGGTTTGTGTGCATGTGTGCAGTGTATAGGTTATATGTGTGTATGCAGTGTATAGATTTTTTGTGTGTGGTGTGCATGTGTGCAGTGCATGAATGGTATGTATGTGGTGTGCATATATGAGGTATATGGATTGTGTGTGTATGCAGCATATGGACTGTGTGTGTGCAGTGTATGGGTTGTATGCATGTGTGCAGTGTATGAATTGTATGTGTGTGCAGTATATGGGTTGTTTGTGTGCAGTGTATGGGTTGTGTGCATATGTGTACACCTATGCAGGTATGCACAGAGGCAGTGGGAGAATGTTGGTTCCCTGCTCTATTCCTCTACCTTATTTCCTTGACACAGGTCTTTCTCTGAACCTGCAGCGATGCTGGCAGCCAGAAAGCCCAGTAATCATCCTGTTTCCACCCTCACAGCACTGGGGTTACGAGGGCCAGTGTGGCCATACTGGCTGTTATGTGGATTCTGAGATTCGAACGCAGGTCCTCGTGTTTGCACAGCAGGTGCTCTCACCTCCAGAGCCTTCTTCCAAGCTCTCCGCAGTCTTCTAAATCACATGCCATGTCACTCCAGAGCTTTTTAAAAACTGTAACTCAGCTGGCTCTCTGTCGTACCTTATAGATTTGGTGGCTTTCCTTTCTCTTTTCCCGTCCAAAAATACTAGCTTAGAGGGATTTTTTTTTTTTTGGTCTAGAGACAAGGTTTCTCTGTGTAATCCTGGCTGTCCCAGAACTCACTCTATAGACCATAGACCAGGCTGGCCTCGAACTCACAGAGATCCGCCTGCCTCTGCCTCCTGAGTGCTGGGATTAAAGGCGTGCACCACTGCCACCAGGCTTTTAAAAATATTTTCAAGTCTTTAATGTAAATTGATGGGGAGAAACACGCAGGATCACAAACATGGTCAAGAAACAAAGCAGAGAAATTGGCTTGGTAGCACACTCTTTCTTCATTCCCGGTTACTAGGTTGTAAATAACCACATATCCTTCCCCCTTCCAACCTTCTCTGTGGCTGTGTGGAAATTTCCCTCGTGTTGGTTCTTTTCTAGCTCGATGATATGGTCTAGGCAGACAAACCCAATGCCAGGCAGAATAAGCCAACTCCTGTTTTCAGTCCCTGGAGCCCCATGCAAAGCTTCTGTTTGGCGAGGAATGCCTGGGGGGTTGGCAGCTCATCTGCACAAAGGACTGGGGGAAAGAGGCACAAGCGTGGTTTTCTCCAAGAACTTTCAAAACCTTTCCTGTGATGCTGGACCACTGGGGTCCCTAAAGCTTGCCTCTCAGCAGCTCTAGGGATTACAGTCATAGCGAAACCACTTCCTCACTGCTGCTTTTGACGAGACACAAACTTTCCAATATGCCCCAATCTTAAGGTTTATGCTAAACTGTTTCAATTACTGTAGTTTCTACTAGCCCCAAATGACGACACAGAGACTTATTATTAGCTATGAAAACTTGGCCTTAGCTTAGACTTGTTCCCGACTAGCTCTTATAACTGAAATTAACCTGTTTCTATTAATCTACATTCTGCCATGTAGCTTTCTAACCTCTCCTCCTATCTGCATGGTTGACTTGTTCTGTGTTTTGCTGGCATTTCCCCACACCTAGATTCTAATCCCTGAGTTCCCCTCTCTCCCTGGAAGTCCTGCCTAACCTCTCTTGCCTAGCTATTGGTCATTCAGCTCTTTATTCAACCAATCAGAAGGTACCTTTCAGACAGCATGCTTGAACAGCCTGCAACAAATGACTTGTCTTACCCTTTATACTTCTTTCTCTGTCAGAGACACCTACTCTGTTGTGTCTGGAAAACACTGATGCCTCTTTTAAGGGTCAATTCCTATGTTCTCTCCCTTGAGAAACCCTTGGGATCTTTTTTTTCTTCATTTTTTTTGGGACAGAATTTCTCTCCATAGCCCTGCCTGTCCTGGAACTCACTCTATAGAACCAGGCTGACCTCAAACTCAGAGATCCTTGTGCAGGGATTAAAGGTGTGCACCGCCACTGCCTGGCAGGTCCTTTTCTATGAGGCCCTTAACAGAACACCTATGATATTATTGCATTTGTTTATACATATTTTCCCTCAACTGCAGAAGATTCAACTACTTGTAACTTCTGGATGGTTCATTTATACAGATCATACTTAGGATCCTTCATAGACGTTCAGGAATGATTAGTGACTCACCTGTAAAAAGACTCCCTTTGTCTATGACCTCACTCACATTAACCATCCCATCATCTGTAAAACAAGAGTTTATGTATAAAAATGAAAAAGAGATAAAGAAAAACACAGAGGTCTAGCCAATTTTTAATATTTGATTTAGAATTCTGCTCTGCTGTCATTCAATTGAAAACAGGGAAAGACAGAACTCCGATTATGAAACCGACACCGAATTCACATTGCTGATGTCACTGTTCGTTCTGTCAAGACAGCAGACCGCAGCTAGAAGGCCCCTGGGCTGAGGCCAGCCTATCTGGTGGAATTCCATGGTACTGACTGCAAAGCTGACTACAACCCAATGGATGAGTACTAGAAAGACAAGATCCAAATTGAGACATCAGCGATGCTCTGCTTCTGTTTTCATGTTCGGCCCACAGACCAGACTTGGCTCCCCCTGCCCTTTCTCCACCAGCCACACTCTGTGGGTGAAAGGGCTTTGATGAACTTAGCTGAGCTTTAACAACAGGCAAAACGCTTATTTCTTGAGACAGGGTGTCACTTATCACCGACTTGGAATTTACTGTGAGCTGAGGATGACCTTGACCTTCTGACCTTCCTGCCTTTGCCTCCTGAGAGCGGGTGTGTGTGTGTGTGTGTGTGTGTGTGTGTGTGTGTGTGTGTGTGTGTTATAGATATATCCCAGTATGCTTTACTCAAATAGGGTGCTGTTATTTGATTTACTTTAAGTAATTAAAAATTTTGAGATAGTGTTTGTCTATGTTGATCTGGTTGGTCTGGAACTTTATTTACTTTAGGTTGACCTTAAACTTATGATGCTTCTCCTACCTCTCCCTCGCATGTCCTAGGGTTTCAAGACCAATCTGCCATGCCTGGTTGCTCAAGCTGGGCTGCTTAGAGCAGATAATGTGGTGAACCGGTGCCTCACAGACCTATGTCTCCCCTCCCTCTTCCCCTCTCTCCCTTCCTTCTGAGGACGGATTCTTATCTGTCTCATTTACTGCAGCAGGCTACTGACAAGCTGGAGGCAGGCTCTAATGCCTCTCGTATGGTATCACCAACCTGGAAAGTATGTCTCAGGGAGAGAATTGCTACTTCTAGAAGTAAAATACTTGTAATATTTCACTAATGTTTCCAGACAGCTGGAAAACAACTAGGAAAAATTATGTCCCTCGTGACTAAATAAAAAAAGTCCAACCCAGAGCGACCATCGACACCAACTACAGAAATGAAAAGGAGTGTACAGGAAACAAGTGACCTTACACCGGCACTCAGACAACCCAGAGGAAAGGACACATTCCCAGAAAGGCAAAAATTACCGAATCTAACCCACGAGGAAGAAGACTAAACTTTACCACTTGGGGTAAAGTCCTTCTGGAGACTTCCCTGTCTGTCCTCCCCATCCTGGACACTTGAAGCGGAAATTCTAGCCTTGAAGGTAGGTATACTTGCTATTTTCCTAATGTTCCACGACCTTGTTTGCACTTACACTTTGGTACTATTGTTCTCAGATGTAATGCTTTTATTAGTAGAGAATTTCTGCATATCTGACAGCTTTCTCTGATCTCTTTTCCTGACACTTAGTTTTTGTTGTTTTTTTTTTCAGAATCTCAGTGAAGGAATTTTTAGTAACAAACTACAATTAGATAACATTATGATGATGCCTTGGCCTCTAGGCCTCTTCACTAGTCTTTGGAGGGTTAGGGTTAGGTTGTTATATTCCTAATAGTTGCATATATTGGCATTCAATGAACTAATAAATTCTTGAGGATTAGATTTAACTTTTTTTTTCAAAATTTTATTTTCATGTGTATAAGTGTTCTGCCTGCATGTGTGTATGTGCAGCACTTGCATGGCTGGTGCCCGCAGAATCCAGAAGAGGACATCATATCCCCTGGAAATGGAGTTATAGGGAGTTGTGAGTTGCTTGATGCGGGTGCTGAGAACTGAACCTAGGTACTCTGCAATAGCAGCACCTGTTCTTAACCACTGGGCCATCTCTCCAGCACCAGGCTTAAAAAAGATTTGCTTTTATTTTAAATTGTGTGTGTGTGTGTGTGTGTGTGTGTGTGTGTGTGTGTGTGTGTGTGTGGACCTGGAGGCCAGAAGGAATTACACATGGTGGTAAGATGCCATCATGGGTGCTATGAACAAATTTGAGTGTGCTGGCAGAAAAATTAAGAATGTGCTTATAATTTAGCTAACTCTTCAGCCTTGAGGATGAGACTTTCCATCTTTTAGGTTTTTTTTGTTTGTTTGTTGCTGTTGTTTCTCCTTTTAAATATTTTGCACAAATCCAGATTTGCTTTCTGAAATCCAAAATTAAGAGCAACTTACCATTAATGGGCAGGTAATTTAACAGGTCGGCGTACTCATTCTTCTCAAGATCATAACCCATATTTTCCATGAAATTCTTTATCTTTTTCAAATCAAGCTGAACTCCTTAGGAAACAGCACAGGAAGGAGAAAAACAATAAAATCCCTAGTCATGACCATGCATTATTTTTTATTATTATTATTATTATTATTATTATTATTATTATTATTATTATATTCTTTTGAGCCAGGGTTTCACTGTTTAGCTCTGGCTGTCCTGGAACTCACTTTGTAGACCAGGCTGGCCTTGAACTCACAAAGATCTGCCTGCCTCTGCTTCCTGAGTACAGGGATTAAAGGTGTACACCACCACCACCCAGCTGGTTATGCACTGATGTGAAATTTTTCTCTGTATAATGTGAATACCATTGGTTAATAAAGAATCTGTTTTTCCCAGTGACTTATCAGAATAGAGCTAGGCAATAAAACTAAACTCAATGTTAGAAAAAAGAAGTGGAGTCAGAGAGATGCCATGTAGTTGCCAAAGAAAAAAGACACCAGCTGCCAACTAAAACCCTGCTGGTAGACTACAAGCCTTGTGGTAAAATATAAAATAATAAAAATGGGTTAATTCTAAATGTAAGAGATAGCTAACAATGTACACTTCAGCTTTTGGCCAAACAATATTACAAATAATATAGTTTTTGTGTAATTATTTTGGGAGTCTGTGTGACCAAAAAATGAACAAGCAGCCTCCAACAACAGACTGGTGCCCAATGTGGGGCTGACTAAATCCACATTAAACCTGAGAGGACTTAAAAAAATTCTAGGCACTAAATAACAAAGTTTAACTACATTTTTTTTAAAAAATAGACTCTACTTGCTGGCAGCGTGCCACAGCTCCTTTAAGAGAGGTCTTTCTAATTCAGCGGTATTAACAACAACAACAACAACAACAACAACACAAAACACACACACAGTTTCAAACAGTGGCTTCCTGGGCTGTGCTACCAGCACCAACTCTGGCTCTTTCAAGAGGTCAAACACTTAAATGGGGTTTGTGAGCAGAGTACTACAACTTGCTCAATGACAACACAGACCCACTGTGAGCCTGAAAATGGGGCTATGAGCATGGCTCACATTAAACAGACCCCTGCCCCACCATGTTGGACTGGCCAGAGCCAAAAGATAAAGTAGGCTCAGTCTTAGTAATGACACTTAACTGCTTATTCCCAAATATTGTTTACAAATTTTTGTTTATATATATTGCATTTAAAATGTTTTAAAAACTTAAACTTTTCATGACAGTGAGGCACATCTGCTTCTGGCAGCACCAATAACTTCAAGAGGAATTGATGGGCATCAAAGAGGCTTCTTATAGAGTTTGTTAGGCATCTGGGCAAGAGACTGCTCTTGCCTGGACTGCTTGATTTTATGCTATTTGACATACAGGACCCACAGAAAAATGACTGCTGAAGTTGCCTAAAGAAGGTGAGACAGTCCTTTGGGGGTTCCTGCTTTGTGAAAGAGACTGCCAGATATTCTGCAGGATACAGAAGAAAGTGACTGACAAACTGCCAATATAGGCATAACTGTCTTTGAAATTTCCTGCTTCATGGAAAAGTCTGCCAGATACTGTGGTCCTGTAGGCTGAAGATGGATGCCCCAATGATACAGAAGAACTTTGGGCGCCTAACTAGGCAGGGAGATATCTCTGTCAATTCTAGAGTTTTGGAATTTTCTTACAATGCACTTCTTGTTTACTTAGGTAATATTATATCCTTCTGGAGTCTTTGATGGAGTTGAAGAATAGATAGTTATAAGTATAGTTTTCCTTAGTTATAATAAAAGACAAAGTAGATATAAATGTATGTATAATTCTTGCTTGACACCGTTTTTGTTATATGTCATTTTACTAATTTAAAGTTAAAACTTTCCTTTTTGTTTAGACATAAAAGGGAATGTGATATGGGATTCTTCTCTGTATGCTGTGAATATCATTATTTAATAAAGAATCTGTTTTGCCCAGCGACTTAGCAGAGTAGAGCTAGGCAAAAAAACAAAACAAAACAAAACAAAAAAACCTAAACTCAATGTTAAAAAAAAGAAGGCGGAGCCAGAGAGATGTCAGCTGCCAACTAAAACCTTGCGGGTAGACTACGAGCCTCTAAATGTAAGAGCTAGCTAACAACACACTTAAGCTATTATCCAAACAATATTACAAATAATAGAGTTTCTGTGTAATTATTTTGGGAGTCTGGGCAGCCAAAAACCGAACAAGCAGCCTCCAGCAACAATGCATTAATTAAAGGGTGTGCAGCCAAAGGGGTGAAGTTGTTTGTGGAAAAGGTTGTCACAGGACTTGGCACCTCTCCTTGTTCTGCCCATTACCCCTATAGAGACATTCATAAGGAATAAGTCTGCCAAATTATAGCCAGAAACCACTCAGACTTAGAACTCTCAGCAAACAGACTCCAAGTGCCATGAGAGTGGAAGGTGGCGTCTTCACAGGGCGTGGTGGTTAATGCAGCAAACGACATACAACTCTGACTGATCATCACCCACAAAGCAAAGCAAAGCAAAGCACGAGAAGTCCAGTTCTACCCAGTTTCTCACTTACCTTTGAGGGACAAGATGTCATCCATCAGTTTGTGCTTATACACCTTCCCGGCAGCTGTGAAGCAAGGCACACAACCGCAGAGTTAGAACCCAGGACACCCACGACACAGTGCAAAGTCTGAAGTCTCAGGGAACAGCTCTAGGGATTTCCCTTGTATGTATAAGTATTTAAGAGAGTAAATCTATCCATTTGAAAAACAGTGGCTAGATGGATCTCCCTGCCTTCTCCAGCCCGCAGCACTCAGTAGGGTGCCTAAACACCCGTGTTTGCTGCGGTACCAGCCCTACTAGTTGGTGCTGGAGTCAGTCTGGGTGCCCATCAGCAGATGTATGGAGGAAGAAAAATGTTTGTATTCTGTCGCCATAATGAAGAACAAAATCTTAAGTTTCTGTCCTTTGCAGAAAATGAACCTTATTGCATGTCATGACGCTAAAGTGATAAATGAGCCATATTTGTAAGGACAAATACCAAGTTTTTTCTTTTTTGCAGAATTGTGTGTGTGGTGTGTGTGTGTTGCAGGGGATCAAACCTAGGACCTTGGCTATCCTAGGCAAACACAATACCACTGATTAATGGTACAGAATCTAGATTAAAAAAAAAAAGAAGACATGAAAATAAAGAAACCTATTTGTGGGAATAGCAGAGGATGTAGAAGGACTGAGGATCAAATATAATAAATATATGTTTAAATATAACATGAAATCTTTTAATTCTAATAAGAAAAAAATTATTTAATAGTCATAATCAAATGCTTATTCATCAACACATAGTATATATAATTTTAAAATTTATATTAATATTTTATGCTTAAAACATGCATTTTTCATGTTCATTGTTTTGTTTAATCCCACTGTTATCCATAAACTATACATTATAGACTTTTTAAAATTCATTTTTGCAACACTAGTAACTAATGGTAACTATCAGTTTTCATTGGGCCAGTAAATAGCTCACTGGTAAATTACATACTTGCTGAGTTAGTCCTTACCATCAAGTGGCAAGCCTTTCATCAATACATTGTTTTCTTTTAAGTGGAGTCTTAACCCAATGTTTTTAAGAACATTGTCCATGTCACTATAGTCAATTTCTTCCCCTACAGAAAGAAAATGATAATAAAATTGTAATTAAAAATTTAAGTAATAATAAAATCACAATGTCTAGTGTTATAAAATATAAAATTTAAAAAGCAATAACAAGAGCTGGAGAAAAGGCTCAGCAGTTAAGAGTACTATCTGCTTTTCCAGAGGACCCATGTTCAAGTCCAAGTACTTATATGGCAGTTCACAAACATCTGTAACTCCAGGTCCAAGGGAGTCAACACCCTCCTCTGGCCTCCACTGGGACACACATGGTGCACAGATATACATACCCATATGCATAAAATAAAAATAAAAATATCAAAAATATTTTAAAAACCAACACCACAAACACGGAAGGACTGTTTCAGGAGGGTAACAGAAATGTAACTTATTTCTGGTCAAGGGAACTCTTCAGTTTGGGAACTAAGAAACACACAAGAAGTTGGTGTTTCTGTCATAGACCACTAAATGAGCTGGCGGCAGTCATTCTGCCTGTACTTAATTAACATTTACTTTATTCTCATTTGTGTCTTGTTCACAGAAGTCAGAGGTGTAAATCTGTCATGCCATTTTATTCTTAAAACAGCAGAAAAAGAGGGCATGTTGCCAGCTACATGTGGTGGCTTATACCTTTAACCCTTGCATGTAGGAGGCTGAGGTAGGAAGCAGGCTATGAGCTGTAGGCCAGCTTGGGTTGTCTACTGAGTTTGAGGCCAGCTTGGGCTGTCTAGTGAGTTTGAGGCCAGCCTGGGTTGTATAGTGAGTTTGATGCTAGCTTGGGTTGTGTAGTAAATTTGAGACTGCTTAGGTCCCAGTAAGACTCTATCTTATAAAACAAAAAGTCCAAACAAAATATTCTGTTTTACTTAAACATATACACATAAAAATAAATAAAGAAAAATTATGTTACCAAGAAACTTCAAAGAATATTGGCTTGTTGTTGGGGAATTCTTCTGTTGTCTTTAAAATAAGACATAGGTCAGGCCTAGTGGCTTTTAATCCCAGCACTAGGAAGACAGAAGCAGGTGGATCTCTATGATCTTGAGAACTGCCAGCTTGGTCTACATAGTGAGTTTCTGGCCAGCCACAGCTATAGAGTAAGAATCTATCTCAAAATAAAACAAAACCAAGTTGTTATAAATAAATGACTCTAGCAAAGACGTCAGCTTCTAAAGCAGGTTACTTGTGATTACCAGCACAAATACTTAGAATTATACAATTACTTTGACATGGACAAGATAAAAGAAAATACTTTTAAAAGCTTGTTTTATATATAACTGGGTGTGGTAGCTATGTATACTTTAATCCCAGCATTTGGGAGACAGAGGCAGGCAGATCTCTGTGAGTTTGAGGCAAGACTGGCCTACAAAAATGAGTTCCAGAACAGCCAGGGCTGTTACACAGAGAAACCCTGTCTTGAAAAACAAAAACAAAAAAGAGATCCGTTTTAGATTAGTTTTTTTTCTTATTAGTTATGGTGTACACACACGTGCTTGGCACAGCATGGGTGTGGAGGTCAGAGGACAACTCTGTGGAGGTGATGCTCTCCTTCCACCACGGGCTCACATTGTCAGGCTTGTGTGGCAGTGCTGTTACTTGATACACCACTCACTGCCCTGTTTGTTTTTGAATAGTATTTCACTATATAGCCCAGGTTGGTCTCAAAGTCATAAGGATCCTCCTTCCTGAGCCCCAGAATTATCGGTGTGTGCTACCACACCAGACGAGAGATCATTTGGACCTTGTTTTCCCATTTCTAGACTCACCTAACACCGTACCGACCTCTTTCAGAAGCAGGTCCATGCGGATTGCCTTCTCATCTGTAATACAAGACAGCCCTTAGACGGACTTTGCCGAGGGTCGAGCCATGGTCTCTCAAAATGTGTGCACTGGAGCCCTAATCCCTCATGTGGCAGTATTTGAAAATGTGGACTTTGGAAGAGAATGAAAGTTTGAATAAAATCACAAGGTGAAGCTTGGTCAGAGGAAGCCATGGCTCGTGAGGAGTGAGAGCCAGCCTCTTTCCAGCTCCCTTGGTTAAGTGAGAACACTGTGGGACGGCAAGCACCTGCAGGCTAGGAGCACGGCCCTCCCAGAAAGCACACACTCCATCCAGCCTTAGTCTTGGCATTTCCAGACTCCAGGACGAATAAGTTTTGTTCTTTAAGTTCCCCACTCTGCCATATTGTTATGGCAGCTGGAACAGGCTTAGACAGGCTCCAGTTAAATAAAATTCTTAACCGTGAAGGTTCAGTGATTTAACAATGGCCTAGAATTTTTCTAACTAGACATTTTATTTTTATTGTCTATATAAGCATAATGTTGAGGAAAAGCAAAAGAATTTAAATATGATAAACACTTTCATTACATTCAGTTATGCTTCCTGATTTCTGTTTCTCACTCATTAGCAAGAACAATGGGGGAAAATTATATTTTTAAGTTTTTAAAGCATCAAGTATTTGTTGGGTGTCTACTGTATCTAGGCCCCCTTTTCAGTGCTGAGGGTACAACAGTCAACAAAATGTCTGTTCCCATGGTGGCAGAAACTAATATCCAGAACCATTTTTAACTCCAGTCCCAAGGAATCCGACCCCTCTTCTGGCCTCTGAAGGTACCTGGAAGTGCATGCTCCACAAAGCAGCCACAGGGTTACAAAGAATTCAAGACCCAGAAGAAAGTACTCCATGAGACACAGAAATGTATATATTTCCTCCTAATTAAAAAAATTTTTAATTGTCTCTGTAGCTGTTCTTTAGACCCCTTTGCTTCAGAGCTCTCTCTCTGATTACAGTTTTGAAACAAGGCTTCTATCACTTTTTGTAGAGCATGGGCAAAATTCACTAATATTTCTGTCGTGAGGTTTAGTCGGCTTGCTCTCTAGATCTCAGAGTAAGGCATTATTCCAGTATAACCTTACACAATCTTGCTTGGCTCCTGTGTTACACTGAGTCTTGAACAGAAGGACTAGAGATTGGTCAAGAAAATTAGGTATTATGGTTTGAAGCATGACTCAACTGCATTAGAAAAGGTTGGTAGGTGAGCACTTTGAGGATGCTCACCGAACGGCTGTTAGTCCTCAACAATAACTCACTATGCCAAAGATGCTTACCATGCTTAGAGTTAACAATGTTTCAACTGAAGTCTTCTGCTAGAGACAATGAAAAAAACTAAGCCCCAATAACCATATCAGTATGCCTTTCTTTTATATTTTTTTAATAGAAGTATAAAAAGATTACTTATTTTTAACAAAAACTCATGTGCTCTACCCCAGATCCACTTGAACACAATTCTGAGAGGGTGATTTCTTTGTACCTAAAGTTTGATATCTAGGAATCTACTAAATGTAATTGTTAGGCATATAGTATTGTTGTAGTGTGGCTTACTTCTCTTTGCCATCCTACAGTAGATATTTTCTTGGTTGAATAGCTATGGCAATTAACTGACCAAAATAATATGGCAACAGCTAGGTCTGTGGTAATGGAGCTATTAACACTCCTTGGCAGAAGGAGAGGACCACATGGTCTCACTTGGAATTCCAGCCACGATTCCTGTGGTGGTCTGAATGAGAATAGCCCCAGTGGGCTCATATACTTAATTGCCAGGAAGTAAAACTGACAGGATTAGGAGGACTAGGAAGTGTGGTCATGCTGGAGGAAGTGCATCACTGGGGGTGGGCTTTGAGGTTTCAAAAGCCTATGCTAGACCCACTCTCCCTTCCTGCTGCCTGTGTACCAGGAGATAAAGCTCTCAGCCCCAGGGCCATGCCTGCCTGCCTGCCTGCCTGCCTGCCGCCCCTCCCCCCACCTCACTCTGATATTATGGACTCATCCTGTCCTCTGACACTGACTGAAAGCAAGTCCCCTATTAAATGCTTTCTTTTATAAGAGTTGTATGTTCAGGTGTCTCTTCACAGCAATAGAACCCTGACTAAAACAACTCCCTGTTGTCTCCTTCCCATGCCGCACTGCAAATGACCTCGGGAGGTGCTGGAGCACACAGGAAGCAGAAGGCTGACTGAAGCGAAGCTCCACAGTGCAGTTCCTGTGAGTTGTCATCCGTGGTGAAGCGGGACTGGCGATGCTTCAGCTGCTCATCCATGCTCCTACAGTAACGCCTCACCCAAGTCCTGCAATCATCCCTGTATACTCGGACTCACCACGGACTTTCACTGGAATCAGAAGCAGGATTCTCATCCAGGACAGTTTACATTTCTTGGTAGTCTGTTCCTGGTGTTTTGTTTTTTTTTTTTGGTTTTTTTTTTTTGGCTTCCTTCATTCTCTTGGTCAAAAGTTTACCATATATTGTATTCTGTAGCCTCCTCTTGTGTGTGTGTGTGTGTGTGTGTGTGTGTGTGTGTGTGTGTTGTTTCTTGGAAACCAGACATTGCTAGCAGCTATCTCAATAGATCTGCAGCTGCAGCATGGAACTCCATCCTTCCAGCAAAACTTCCTGCTCTCTACCTGCCCTTGTCTGGAGGACATCTCCAGGCCAGGAGGACTGATCTTATCTAAAAACTATCTCTAACCAGAGGCCTGATTCATCTTTAGCTTGACCTGTGGCACAGTTCTCTGCTGAGAAGGCTTGTGCTAGGGGCTCTGTGATAGGAAAGTGTCACTTAATGAAAATTAGGGTTTGTCCCCAGGCTCCTCTCCTATATATTCCCATCCTCTGGAATAAAATCCAGCTGTTTCACTGAAATCTGTCTCCTGGGGGAGGGGGGCTGTCTCCGTTTGTGTTCACAGACCGCCAAAGCTTTCTGTCACCCCATCTGCCTCTTTCCCCTTTCAGCTTGGTGGCAACAGATCCAGGGGGAAAGAGGATCCCCACAGTTCTTTAGAACACTACATTGGCATTTGTGTTTCAGGACACATGGAGTAGGAAGACGCTGAGTCTTGGGCACTTTGGTCCTAGACTTCCTACCTTCTTTGATTAAGGGCTTTCTGACTGCGTTATTGGTGGATGTCATCTTCTTTAGAGAGATTGAAGCGCTTTCAGGTTCTGCTAGTTCTCTTGGGCCCCAACTGTCCAGACACAATAGTATTTGTCAACCCAGGAAGAGCCTTCTCTCCTTTTTAAAAAAGGGATAACCAAGTTGAGAACACTCAAATCGGCACCCATGGAACATTCATGAAAGACCTGGTTTCCTCTCTCAGTTCTCCTTGGTCTGTGACAGGAATGTCCCTTACTGAACAGCAGATGTACTCTGCCATGGTCAAGACGTTGGCTTCAAGGGGAAACCTTGTCCGTCATCCCCCACAACTGATGCAGACCACACAACCCTTACACTTTTCACACGGAGCAGCGGCCGCTAGTCCCGTGGCCACGTGCTTTTCACAGAAAGTACAAAACTTGAGTTCATCTGCTTCAGTGAACTTCTGGGCCAGTGGCTGGGAGGAGGATAATTCAGCTTCATTTCGATGTAGCCCACTGCCTAGGAATGCTATATGAAAAGAACTGAAATTCTTTTTGGAGAGCACTGTGTGTTTGAAATACTCACGATTAACTGTCAGATTTTTAGACAATTCCTCTATTTCCTCTTCCTCAAGAGGGTATCCCAGTTGTTCAAGAGCATCATCAATTTTATCAAGATTGACTTTTCCACCTTAAATAAAGAAAGAAGAAGTTTGGTTTTATGCTAAAAGGAAGAAAAATGATTGCCCATACCCATCAGTCCATACAACCAGTAAATGAAAGGTCCCAGCACCAGAAAGTCCTTGAGGTGATAAAATAAATAAGTTGGGAATTTGGGAGAGGGGAGGTCTTCCCTCTCAGTGCTCCAGGGAACACCATGACAGTTGTCTATGAAGAGTTTACCCAGGAGAGAAGAGTAGGCAACATTTTCTGTTATAGCAGCTGTCGGCTCAGCCAACATTTCCCACCAGTATAGAGAGATATAAGATGGCTACAGTCAGATGGGTGATTGTGCCAACTATTGACAGACAGCTGTGCTTACGTCACCGAATATGGTACTGCAATTAGTAATGTGCCCAGAGAAGGAAGGGGTTTGTGGTTCTTCCTCTGTCAGAACACTTTGCACTCACTTCTGCAAGTCCGCAGTATGTCCATTAACACATTTGTATACACCATGTTGTCAGCTGTAAGGTAAAGGTCACATTAATTAGAGGAAGTAGAAATCTAGGAAGTCCTGTTTACAGATGTTATTAGTCACGTTCAAGGAATCTGCTGGCACTCACAAGGCTAACTCCTCTTTTGTAGTATCTGATATGCTGCAAGTGGAGCGTAAGCATTGAAACCCGGGTTGTCGTATTGTTCTCCAAGGACCCTCCTCATTTCATAAATCTTTTGGTTATCATCTTTTCTGACTTTAGCTTTAGGCATGTTACAGATACTCAGTCCAATATTTAAAATTGTTTATCACACTTACCAGAACCCCCAAACAGTATTACTTCCCAATTTAGCATCTGAATAGTGAGGAAAGTACACTTTCATGAAAATTGACTTTGGCTTTTCATTTTCAGTGAGCTGCTAAGTGACTATGCACACATAACCCGATGCACCCAGCCCGAGCCCAGGATTGCCGGGACTAGCGGTGGGGTCTGCGCTACTTACCAACGACTGGAACTATGCTCTGTATCAGCTTGCTTTCTTTGTCTGTTAATTCAATGCCTAAGCTTTCCAGATATGGCTGTATATCCTCAACATTTACTTTATCACCTTTAAAAAGATGAGAGACATAACAAATGAGCATTTTCATATAGAATGATTCTTCATTAAGAAAATGATGATAAGGATGCAGTTGTCAGGACTACAGTGGCAGAAAGCTGAGGACACAATGAGGCTTATTTCTCTGGGCAGCATCACAAGAAAGAGCTAAAGCCAAGCGCGTTTCCTCTAACAGTGAAATGAGGGAGGAATGAGTGAAGAGGAGGGAGACTTCAGTGTGGGGGGGGTGGCAGAAAAGGGAGGGTGACATGGGAAGGCACGGGAGCACAGTAGTAACAGAGACCAGGTAAAGTTGGGACGTATTAAAGTTAAGATTATAAAAATAAGCAATGAATAATAATCATAAATAGCACAGTTTGGTAATGAAGGAACCCCTCGCACTGGGCTTTAAGCAAAACGGAAAAGGAAAGCCACTGTGAGCTCTATGGGTACCCAGTCAGTTATTCTCCAAAGAATGAAAAAGAAAAGACAGATCTACCATCCATGTAGAAGGCGGACACCGGAGATCGGGAGGGGTGGGTTCCTTCAAATGGTCAGGGCTGAAGCCCCTGCAGTTTTATGTCCCCAAGTCCTAAAGGTCTTCCTCACCTCTCTGGTTAAGCTAGTGACCATTTTGGGAATCAGCTTAGGCCCAGGAAACTGGCTGCAGCTTGGAAACAGATCCATGAACACAAGTGTACTTTATGGGCAGTGTGAGCCATGCTGCAGAGGCTGCTCATAGTGGGAACTGAGGCCCCAAGGCCTGGAAAGACTGCAAGTCCAGGCATATTCTCCCCGAGGGAGTGTGGGAGCTGGAACAGAGATGAGCAGAGCCAGGTACCTGAAATCACTCAGTGTCTGTGCCCTGCCCTGCCACACTAATTGTTTTAGTTTGATTAATTTCTACACTTTCAAGAGCCCCAGGGATACTTGGTGGGGACTCAGCAGCTACACGGGCATTCCCCATTCCCGGCAGTGCTGGTAGGGTGTGTCTTGTGAAAGGGGGCATTCAACTGGGTGGTCTTTAGGCTTCTGTCCTGAAAAAAATAAATGACTGCAAATAGTATACAAACAAGCAGATGAATGAACTCAAGAAATTCAAGGCCTAGAAAAAATTTAGCAATGTAGATAAGGAAGTTAGTAACAAGGATGAGAAAACTCAGCAAGGAAATTAAAATTTTGATAAATAAAAAAACCAAAAATACTAGAAATGTAAAAAATCCTAAATGAATTAAAAAAAAACCAGAAAAATCACCAATGAACTAGAGCAAAAGAAGAAAGAATATTAGGGGCTGAGGACAAGACTGAGGAAACATTACAACTAGATAGCAATAAATAAAAAATAATGACTACAGCTTGTAAGAACTTATGGGATATGCTCAAGGGACCAAACCTAAAAATCCATAGGGTCAAGAAGCAACAGAGATAAAACTTAAAGAATAGAATTCTTACTCAAGGAAATGAAAGCAGGGGGCCAGGGAGATGGGCAAAGGCCTCTACTGCATACAACATCAGTTCCCAGAATCCAAGTGATAAAGCCACATGCAGTGGTGTGCATCCACAATCCTAGCACCCCTACAGTGAGGTGGGAAATGGAGATTGCATAGACACATGCACACATGCATGCACACAGGTACACACATGTATGCACATACACAATATACAAATGCTTGCACACACATGCACACTCTCACACACACACATCAAAAGATCTTGAATCTTTCCATCATTACTTCTCACCAGAAAACAAATGGACTGCATTTGCCAAGGAGCTCGGTGAGAATGTCCCAGTACCTGAAACACAAAGCATAAGTGAGACACAGACCACACTTTTCTTGTTTGCCCATGAGATGTTCTAATATTCTGTGAAAATGTCATCATATTCACAGGGCAAATTTACTATTTTCTGAATATATCCAATAATGTAACAGAACTTTTATAGAAGGTAAATGACCATGGTAAATTAGATCTTCTTCTAGACGGCTATTTGGATACTTCTTTTGATGGCAGATAAACTTTTTTTTTTAAATATTTTTTATGGTTTATTTAACTTTATTTTATGTGCATTGGTGTGAAGGTGTCAGATCCCCTGCAACTGGATCTTCAGACAGTTGTGAGCTGCCATGTGGGTGCTGGGAATTGAACCCGGGTCCTCTGGAAGAGCAGTCAGTACTCTTAACCTCTGAGCCATCTCTCCAGCCCCGCAGATAAACTTTTCCAAGGCAGAAATCCCTGGCATTCTATTTCTACCCCACCAGACATTCTCTTTCTATTTGCTGGATGAAGACAAGCGGCCTTTTACTGTATATTACATGCCAAGCAACTCCAGACCTCCTTTCCCTCCTCACTTGACTTAGTGCTTTCTTACTTTTCTACCAGCTATTTCAATAACTTCTAAAAATTCTCTGTGATGTTTAATATGTTTACCCATGCCTTTATCAGTCCTCTGCCATGATAATGGATGAACAGAATATATATTGACTATCTATCTATCTATCTATCTATCTATCTATCTATCTATCTATCATCTATTTTTTTTTTGAGACAAGATTCACTATGTAACCCTAGCTGGCCTGGAACTCACTATGCATATTAGACTGGCCTCAACTCAGAGCTGCCTGTCTCTGCTCTTTATCCCCACCCCAAGAGCTGGGACTAAAGGTGTCTACCATACCTGGCAGCAGCTCTATTTTGTTCTCTTGAGGATTATAAGTCCATGAGTAGTTCTTCCTTCCTAAAGTATAACTGACACCCCTCCCCCAAGATTCTTAAAGGAATCGGAAGTAGTAAAGAAAATACCATCAGATTTCAGGAAGCTCCGTACACCTTCCATGTCTTCTTTCCCAACATTGTAGTTCAGGTTTTCCAAAATGGTTTCTAGTTTACTCATAAAACCTTTCCAGCCTTGAGAAAAGAAGAGATGCAATAAGAAAAATATGTAAAATTTTAACATTTAAAATTTTACTTAGCTCTGGGCCTGGGTGGTAAAGGCTAGAAGAAAGCAAGGCTATAAATGTTTGAAAAAAGAATGAAAAGGTGACAGGGATAGATGGGAGGGGATGAAAGGAGCATCCCCTGTACATGTCACAAGTTATGCGGCTAAGATCTTCAGTAAACACCTGAAGCAAACTTCAGTGACTAACTTGTGTTGGTTGCTCTTCATATATTCATAGCAGAGACGTCGGAAACAACCCTAATTATGACTGCCAGGTTTGAAACCTGTCACGACAGTAAATTATCTCTATAAATTTAAACTAAAAGTCACAAAGGGAAATGAAAAGATTGATAAGCCATTGAGTACAGCACCATGGGTGAGAATGAGGCCTCAGACAGCTGTTTCCACAGTCAAGCTGTGAGGCATGAGACACGCGGGTCAGCGTAAATCCCGTGGGAAGTGGCGATTAAGAAAGTTATCCACTGTGGCATTTGTGTGGGACAGAATAGAGCCTTGGGACAACCCTCAACAGAAACAAGTTACTGTTACCACTGAGTAGCAAGCAGACTTTCCAAAAAGAAATGCAAGCTTCAAGGCCTGTCTCACTTGACCTTGTATTTGTTACTCACTGTGAAAAGTTTTTACACCATCCCACAGTCGGTTGCGATACACGTTACCATCAGCTGTAAAGAAAGACATAGTCAAGGTCACAGACAAAGAAGGACTGCTATCCATAACATGACCGTGGACATGAAGACAGTAACCTTATAGGATCTGCCTATCCAGTCTGATATCCATACAGCTTTCTTCATTTTGGCCTTATCAATAAAGTGAGGCATGGGATCTTCTGTATGATCCACTTCACCGGGCTGGGACTGATACTAACGTGTTCTTTTTCTGTCTTGCCTTCCCTCCTGCCCTTACTTTTCTTTGTGCTTTAGGATTATCAGAAATTCCAGAAGTAATATCTCAACTCACAAATCAGATCTTGATTCATAAATTATTTGTTTCTTAAGAAGTTCTCAAACCCAGTTCCAATAGAGCCCCCATGTCACATAGTCTCCATTTGACAAAGACTTTTGACTTTAATCTTACCACTTGAGAAGTCCTCAGTATGCTGAATGCAAACAAATGTGGAATTGTACACTTAGTGACTCCCTCTTGGCTCCCACCACATCCTCCCCCCAAAGAAGTCCCCTTAGAGCTGAGGGAATCAGAAATGCTCACAGGTGACAGGCAGAGTCTTCAGCAGCCCCCAACGGTCCTTCGGCGTGAACTCTAGCCCTATGTTTTTCAAGACATTATCTAGTTCATCAACATTCACTTTGCTTCCTTTGGGAAAAAATGAAAATGAGAGCAACCAATGATTCCAAACTGTGTTATTTGTGTTCACCTGAAGGGTGGGATAGTCAAAAGTCTCTGAGTTGAGAGTCTGAGAAGATATCAGGAAAAGACATCAGTTGCTTAATTCTAGACAGAAACATAATTTTCTAAGTTCTAATGAAATGCCTGAGGCAATCTCATCTTGTTCTGACTCCATGTTGTGCTTCTTTAGACAATTCTCAGCCCTTTACTCCCCTCCCCAAGGGTTGGGTCTACTTTGGCAAAATCTGTTCTCTGGTAATTACATATATGAATAGAATTTATTGAGAACATATCTACCTCTACCTCCAACTTAGATCCCTCCCTACCTTCATGTATTTTTCTACTTTTTAAAATTTTTAAAATACCCCCCCCTCCGAGTTTGATTTCTGCCGTCCATATGCACATGAGTGCAGGGCACCATCTACTGGAGCATGAGCGGCCTACCAGGGGCCACACCACTGAGGAAAGCTGACTCTCTCTCAACCATTGGCTAACAACTGTTACTAGCTCTTCACTAGGGGTGGAGTTTCATTAGCTCCTTCTTCTGCAATTTTATGCTATATGATATCTCCCTATTTTATGCTATATGATAATATGAGAAGGTGTTTTATTGCTAAAAAGATTAGTTCTAATGCATTATTTTACCAGTGGTCATGGTTACCCAAGTTTATTATGATTGTTTGAACAGTGCAACTAATTTGAATTATGAAAAAAAATCTAGGATACTATAACAATAGAAAAGTTTAAAAGCTTTGTCAAAAAGCACATAACTCAAAACTAATCTGGACTACTGCATAAAATGCTTGTATTTTTCACTATTTATTTATTTATTTGGGCACCCTTCTGGAGGTCAAAGGATAATTGTCAGGAATCAGTTCTCTCCACTATGTGGGTCTCAGAGGTCAAAGTCAAGTCATCAGGCCTGGCACCAAGTCACCAAGTGCCTTAACCTGTTGAGCCATATCACAAAAACCTATAAAATGTATTATTTATTCACCAGCAAGGCCAACACGTTAAGGTACTAACAGAGCCCCTGTGATGGGCTTGGGTATTTAAAAGTATAGATGTAAAAGTCTTCTGAATATTGCCGTCTAAGACTGTTTTCCTCCATGGCCTTTTACTCACCTGTGAGTGACTCTACATTTTTCATCATCTTACTCAGTTTAACTTTCCCATCTGTAAGACAAAATACAAATAAGACCCAGGCAGTCACTCAGACCCAGGAAATTTAAGACCTTACAGTGTGAGATAAACATGGACATTCAAATGGTCAACCTGATTTGTTCTGTAAATGCATTAATTTTCATCCCCAGATGAGCATGGAATTGAAAACCAAAGGTCGAAATGTCACACACACACACACACACACACACACACACACACACACACAAACACACACACACGCATACATACATAGCACCAAGAGGAGAAATTACAGAATATGTCAATTCTATACATAACAGTGTTAAGACATTTAAAAGGCATTGGTTAATCTTTCCATTTGGTCTGTTCTTTAGAATTCAAGAGCATTCTGTTTATCACCTTAGAATTGCAGATTTAAAAAGCAGTATGTGGCATTGCTTGGAGCCTGGACTGACCTGGCACTTTCTGAATAGGTATTCCAGGACACGCCTGAACCGCAATTCCCTGCCGTAGCTTCCCTCTTGTTGTATATGCAACCATTACTGAACACTCTGTACATGCTTCTGATTCCAAGGCCTCCAACATTTGTTTAAATTATGATCTGACTTGTTGAAGATCTTTTAGGTCACATCGTCCCTTGAAGGTATCATTCAAGCATAATATCTACAACTCTGTATTTTTTTTTCTAAGAAGCAATATTATTTGGTAGAGAAGTAAAATCCTTTCAAGTTATGTAGATCTGGGTTCAGGTCCCATTAACCAACCTCTGTAATGTATCCCCCGTTTTCACATCAGAGAAATTTAGATAATAACCTACCTCACAGGGTTGCTTCAGGACTATTAATAACAGATCTGGTGCCACACACACCGTAGGCAGTTAATAGTTGGTAAGTATTAGCTGTGGCTACATCATAGCTGGTTAGTTTATCTGGTGGGGGGTGGCAGCACGAGAACAGGAGTGGGAGGGATCTGCTGGATTCCCACATTAACTATTGAATTAGTATACAATTCTTAGTTCTCGTTAACAAAATGCTCTTCCCGTAACTTGGTACAAATAGTGGGTAAGTCAGATCTCACTTACGGTAAAGTAGATGTTTCAGCAGGAAGGCAAATGAAGGCGGGCTAATCAGGAGCCCCTGTGTGATTTAGATAAAGATAAAGCGGTTCTGATGGTTTGAATGTGGCCCCCAAACTACGCGTGTCAGGGACAAACTCCATGGTAATGGTGCTGAGAGGTGAGATATAGGAGGTGACCCTGTCAGGTGGGCAGGGTCCTGATAAATGGCGCATGTGCAGGTTTATTGCTGAGAACTGTTTGGTTATGAATGTATCACCCACTCCCTCTTGAGTCCCCTCCTGGTTGACTGCACTCGAGTGCACTATCTCTGTATTTCTCTCTCACATGAGCACATGCCTTTTATCTTTCTGCCTCCTGCCATGGGTGATGCAGCACAGAGGCCCTACCATTAATTCCTTGATATTGGACTTCCCAGCTTCTACGACCATGAGAAATTAATTTCTGTTCAGTATAATTTACCTAGTCTCATGTATTCTGTAATATCAGCACAAAAAAAGTAAGTCAGATGTAATAAAATTTCCTGATGCAGTAAGAACCATAGAAGACTGGCTTCTAAATAGAACATTATTCATAATTTAACTCCAAACAACATACAATGCATTGTAATGTCTATGGAAGTTGCAATGCTGCTTCCAGACAGAAGGTTATAACCTCTCTGTTTTCCTTATAGGATTGCAGAAATTGGCCTAACTATTTATATAACCAAATGATCTACTTTTTTGGTTTGCTTTTGTGAATAGGGCTTCTTTGTGCAGCCCTGGCTGTCCTGGAATTTCTTTTGTAGACCAGACTGGCCTTGAACTCAGAGATCCGTCTGCCTTTGCCTCTCAAGTGCTAGTATAAAGTCATGTCCCATCACCGTCAGGCCCAGTTAATATATTTTAAAAAGTTAAATCTATATTGTTACCCCCTAGCCGAAATCTGAGGATAATGTAATTCAGAAGCAACCCTGATCCCAATCAGCTGAGTAACATATTTCTGTGTCACTTGGGATGGTGTGTCCTGTCCTCGCGTAGTCATTTGGGTATGTGATTCACAGTGAGCCTGACTGACTTGCTGATTCTGAATCCTGAAAACGTGACACTGGTGATACTCCAGCTGCACCACCTGATGACTCTGTCAATTAGCTCTGTGGTCATGTGATCCCATCGCTGCAGCCTTGGCCTTGGTCTTCCCAGTCCTGGGCTTCCAAATATTTGGTTCTAGGATTTACTTCGTGGCCTTCACAGTTCTCTCTGGTGCTTAAGCTAACCAGAACCTGAGGATGTGATTTTTTTTTT